TTATATGCATATTTAATGATGAATGATTATAGCTTTTCAAGTTAAAATCAATGTTATAAATCCAATAGGACAAAAAACATGTTGAAAGTGTAGGTGCTTTTCAAAGGACGTGGCACAAATGGGGATATCATTTGGGATTGTGACCCCATCAGTTGTTTAAAACCCAAGCATTTTTTGACAAAATTCTTTCGCGTGTATTTACATCAAAGTGCTCCCGGTGAGATTTGAACCCCGGTCTCCCAGGTCCCAGCCCTGCTTCCCTATCAATTGAGCCAGCCAGCTCATACCACAACCCTCTCCATCACTGACTACATTAATCACCAAGACAAACTCACAGTTTGAGCGGATCTTCTGCAGTACTTCATGAATCGCTCCATATCCTGTGCTCCCGAGGCTTCAAACGTCATTAGTGACGTCACTCATCTAAAACAACTCAGGCTTCGGCCCGCGCTCCGATAAAAACTTCAGGGATTTCTCGGCTCACGCCCCGAAGCGCCGACGCGGCACGACCCATCACTAGTACTCGTACCGTACTCGTAAAGTTTTTGAAAAAAGTGGTATCGGTGCATGTTGGTGCAAGTAATCTAGTTATATGAATGTCCTGCTTTAATAATAAATTACATTTGAGCTAACACAGGGTCTGCAGGTGAAAAGATGAATTGTTTCTACTTGATTTTGTTTCCATTTTATTTATTTGTAGACATCAGCAAGAAGACCTGTTGGTGATTTGTGCTCTAGTGGCATTATGAGATGGAAAACCTGCAGGACTCCCCCCACCAGACCTGCCTGAATCCTTGAGTAACTTTCCATTTGAGATAAACATTTAGCCAAGTGTAAGGTGCTAAAGGGAGATTGGGGGTAAAGTAAATCAACCTCCATCTTAATTGCCCACAATCAGCCCTTTCACTGACCTGCTGCTCCACACACAAACATGTTTCCTTGCCTTTGGGTTAAATACAGAGACTTTCTGTCTTAGCACAGTTTATTTTCCTTCCCCTGCAGCCATTCCCTTTAATCTTCGATGCAAAAAAACACCAGTACAAATGGACAAGGCATCTCTTTGTTATTCAAGTAACCTTAGGATTAGCATTTGCGCATCAACTGATATTTTCCTCTGTCTCAATTCTTTACTACAAGCACGGTTAAACAAATACGTCCCGAGAGAAAGAGCCCGGTTCAACTGTACTGTCAAAGACAGGCACGCGGTAAAGAGCATTGAATCTTGGCGATCTACCCTTTAACAAATGAGTAGTGGATTCCTGTGGATTGATGGGAGCCCTGGGTCCATGCTGTTGTAGACCCAGTCATGGTAAATCTGCTATTTTTGTCAAGGTGTGAAATGTGCTGCTAAATCAGACGCTGGGGCCTCATTTAGAGAGTTTCTTATACACAAGATGTTGGAAAAGAAACATATAAATTTAGAATGTAGTACAGTGAAATAACAATCTTTTTATTGTGATCAAAAAACATCTTGAAAGTAACTGACAAGCAAATGTTACCTATGCAACACAGTGCAGAGGTTATGTGTTTTGTATTTTGATATTCATATTTGGAAAACCTGCAGTTGCCATGGTTTTCATGTTGACATTTTTTTTGGATTGCTCGTAAAAACAGGAAGCTGAATCCCATGAAAAGGCAACATATTATGTTAACAGTTATTTTGACCACCTTTAGAGTAGTACTAAAGTAATCATGGGAAAATAAAGTTGTGAAAATATGCAAAAACTAACCTGAATTTGAAGTGAATTAAAGCATACGCCAAATATGAATTATATCTGACTGAGCTTGCCTTGTAGTCAAATAATAACTACAATATGCTCATCCATTTGAAACATCTTTGTAATTCTCCTTGTCCATAGAAGCAGCCACTGTTCATTAGAAGAGCACACCGCAGAAACAGTCTTGTGTTGCATCGAAAAGACAGAGGATCGGAGCTGGTTAGGTTGCTACGGGAACCAGCATGAAGACACCATGACAGGACAACTATTTATACTCTCATGCTCCAAATGCTCCAAACACATTGTTGCTGTGAGAAGAGTTGTCCGTGTAGATTTTCAGCCAAAAGACAATTATTTGATATTCATTACTTCTTCCAGGGTTTAATGATTTCACCAGGTTTGTTTGTGTGTTAGTTTGTCTGTCTGTGAGCAAAGACCTACAAAAATGATTAGATTTTTGCTGTAACTTCTTGGAGGAGGTCTTCGCTTCATGAGTGATTTTCTAGATTTGTAATTGTCATACACCGTAAATGGGCAAGTAGTTTGTTACTGTATGTCTAAAAATATATATTATAAAAACAATTAATGGCAGAAAGAGCAATATTTCTAGCATTCATTATTTCATTTAAGGGTGTTGTGGTTTATTATAGATTATTTGTTTAAATAGTTGCTTTTTTTGCTGTAGTTAGAAATAGATTTTTGTTTAATATATTCATGTGATAATTAGGAACCACCATATACAAATAGTAACAATATATCGAACTTCTAAATCAAATCAAATCAAATCAAATTTTATTTATGAAGCGCTTTTCATACAAAAGATGCAACACAAAGTGCTTTACAGTTTGGTTAAAAACAATCCCGCCGGCCCATGTCCCCTCCCCCCGACCACCCAACAGACCCATCCCAAACCACAGACAAACACACACACGCTCCCATGCACACTCTCTGACACACACACACACACACACACACACACACACACACACACACACACACACACAAGTAAAACAGTAAAACAATGATGAGAGACTTGGCAGGGTTCGGATGCAACCAGTTGAAAAAGCGTCATCCTAGGAGCCGTCTGCACCAGGAGCAGAGAGCCGCCTGTAGCCACAGGGGACGACACAGGATCTAGAGGAGACCCGAAACCGAGGCCCCAGGCCCCCACCAGGTCCAAGAGTCCGACCCCCACAGCCATGCCGACCACCGCTCCCAGTGCAGAGGGCTCCTCCAGAGGAAACACTGGGTACACTAAAAACAATACAATAACCATACAATATGTAAAACACAAAAATGTGAAACTAAAATGACACTAAAATGAACTAACACACAATACATGAATAAAAGCAATAGCAATACAATAAATAATAGAAGATAAATAGAATATATAAAATGAAATAGTAAAAACTAATCAAAAGCTAATCTAAAAAGGTGTGTCTTGAGCCTGCTTTTAAAAATATGAACGTTCTCTGCGGCCCTGAGCTAAATGTGTTGCGGCACACCTAATGAACAAACACATGAGATTTAAGAACATTTGGATAATCTCTGGCAGCTATAGAAGACATTTGACGGTGGTACATTTTGATTATAGTGTTTCCCATGTAATTACATTAGTTTGATTTCATTCTCATTGGAAACCAGTGCACACATAAATCCCTATAACAATGTCAAGCCAGACTGACCCGAGTAACTACGGGAAAGATGGAGCACAATGTGTTACACCACACCATTTTACTCCACACACAGGCTCCCTGGGCCAATCAAAGCAGAGATCGACAAAGCCGTGAGTTTAAAAGCCTCAAGGGACTGGGAAGTGTAACCAAGGTTAAAAAGCTGTGAGATGATTAATGGCTTATAAAAGGAAGGAAGCAACAAACAAAACAAAAGCAATGACAGAACAGATAAAGCAGATAAAGACTTGGAACGGAACAGCAAGTAATAGAGAAATGCATAGGGATGATAATCGCCAAAAGCACACAGAATAAAAATGTTAACCTTGAGGCCGCTAATTTAACACTTAAGATTGGGAGAAAAGTGAAGAAAAAAACTTTTGAGCAGTAGCCATAGCCGCTGCTCCGCCTGGTTGATGGTCACAGTGATGGGGATAACCTGGGGCTTGTTAGAAGAATCATTGCATGCACGCCTCGCTGAGCTCTTTTTATCATTCTGCTCCGCTTTCAGGCCTGAGGGACACGGACACCGAATTATGCCCAAACTCGTCTCTGAGCTTTGCCCGAGGTGTTGAACAGCAGTGGCGAGAGAAATGTTAGAAACACCGAATCGCAAAGAGCAAAAGGCATAATCAGGGGTGGAAAAAAATACGACTATTTTGTTCCGCAAAATGAAAGAAGAGATAATGGAGCAAGAACATGTTTAATATGTAATAACAACACTGCTCAAGTCAACTGAAAGAGAATAATATTTCATTTAGAGGTAAAACTATTCTCCCTACTTTACCTCTCTTTCTTTTTTTCTTTTTTTTAATTAATATGAGACGAATGACTTGGTATTGTACTGACATTTTGTATCGAATGAAAACAAATCTGCTGCATGCTAACATTGACTTTGAAAGCAATAATATCAAATCAATACATTTTGAAGGGGCATAACACAACTTTTTATGTGGAAATGAAAGTTGACATTTGTTGACCTTGCAGCAGCTGTATGAGTGGTTAGCACGGTGCCTTTACTTTCCATCTCAGTGGTCTCGGATGCTATAGGATTAATTATTTAGAAGGTTTCCTCTGTTGACAGACCCCTGCACCAGAAAACCTTCAGAACAATTGATCCTGGAGCTCTGTGGACATAACCCTGATTGAAAGTAAAGACGCCATGCTGCCCACACTTTCAGCCACGGCAAGGTCAGGTATGTGAAAATATGTACAACTTTTCTCACATAAAAAGTCCACAAACTAATTTATTTCAATAAATAGTTTCAGATCAACAGTGAGATTTTAAATGGTCAAATAGATAACAAGTTCCATATGTAGCTAATTATATACTTGATCTGAAATGACAAACTTCAAATGAACTACAATTTCAGGACGATTAAAACCACATTTAAGAATATATATTTGTAAGGAAGTGTTGGCGTCAATTAAACAATATATATATAAAAATGTTTTTAAAAAAATCAACAAATACAAGATAAGTAAGAAACTAGAGGAGAAAAGGAGAAGACATCTGTCATATTTTGTTTGAGAATCGCAATGTTTTGAATTGGATTGAAGTGTCTCTCTTGAACTGTAGAGAATACCCTTTAACTTAAAGAGTACCTACCCCGACTTCAACATGATCCGATCCCTTGTCATCTTGCTTGTGCAGAATTTCAAAGTAGTAGCGTCTTGAAGAAATCAGGCTGATGAGAGAGAACGAAAAAGAAGGAAAAGAATGATTACATATTTGCAGCTTGTAAAAACACTTTATCGGGCCAAGAGTAGCTTCAGGCAAGAACCCTAATAAGCCCCGATGTAGTGAGGTAAACAACTCCGGCTTCTATGAAAACATGCATCAACTGGAAATCTGTAAGGTTAATCATGTCCAGAAGTAATTTGGCGCTATAGGAAAAAGAGCAGAGAGCAGGCAGTCGTTGCAATTATTACAAAACCCTGAGGTGGTAAATCAAGTACTCTCTATGATGCAGCAGAATAAATCCATTTCTCACATATGTCACAGTATTTATAAGTGATTGGGCAATAAGGTTTTTACCTGCTATAATTCTGTCTATACTCTGCTCATATTCTCCACTGCAAGTACAATATCAACTTTTAAATACTTCTGAACCAAGTGCAATAATAGCTCCAGAGTTTATTTAATGTATAATTATTTTACCATCTTATTATCTTATGTTAATTCTACTATATTTTATATTAAATAATAGACTCTGTTGGATGTGTGCAATTTGAGTGCTCTTATTTCAGTCTTTCTCTGCTGTAATGTGCGCAACGGTGACACTGACATTTCCCCACTGTGGGACGAATAAAGGAAAATCTTATCTTATATCCTTACACTGCTAACACATGCACAGTTGTAGCATATTTGTAAATATTATTCTGAAACCTTGACTTCTATCAGGATATTGCACTTGTTTCTTGAATGTCTTAATCTGAACGGATTTCATAATTGAGCAACTTTGCCGATTTGCAATGTGATAAGTGCTATAAGAAAAACAAATCTGAAAGGTTTTACCAAGTAGAGTTATATTTTACTGCCATATAAATGTTCCAATTATACAGATGCATCCCTTCTTAAGCAAAGGATTGATTGACTATGACTGGGGTCCTCTTGGGTTTCACTTGTTGATCTAAAGATGTGACAGAAAACCAAAATATATCCATGGGAAAAGTGATGAACTGCTTTAGTGGCAACTAGTTACATAACAGAATATTGTGGCTTGAAAGTCAGATACCCCAGCTTTAAGCATCAGAAATTAACAACCTGGAAATTTGCCTTGGTATGTGGCGCAAACAAGCCACAAAGGCATGGGTAAAAACATTTTTACAATTATAATATATAGATACACACATTGCCATTTTAAGTGGTGTGTATTAGAGAGTGGTATTATAGTGTCTGAAGAATACAGTGACGATTGCAATGGACCAGGTTGTAGTGATGAAGTGTTCAAGAGTCCAACTGCAGAGAGGTCTAAACTGGTCTAGATGGACTTTAGCCTCTTGCTAATATGAAATTACCCAAAGTTGTACAGTTTGGATGGGTGATCAGTGCCCTCCAAGCAACACAGTGTTATTTTAATGTGGATAATAGACCAGGCATCTGCTGCTGAGTGAGAGACAGAGCAACAGAGCTGGTCTCCATGCACCATTAAGTCCATGCAGATACCAACAAAAAAAATACACACGGACAGACGCCAGCTGATAAGAAACACATGGTCCCAAACAAACTCAATTTGAAATCCTAGACATTTTTTGAATGGAAAAATTATTGTACATATTTGTTTGGTTACAACATTGATTATTCTTTATGTAACAACAAATGTATCTAACTAAAGCAGTGTAGCTATACATTTAGACACAAAAACATGTACAGTAGCTCCCCTCACTCAGGGGCCCAGAATTTCCTGGTTTAATAAAGAACAATAGGTTTAAAAAAAGGGCTGTTTCCAAGGTAGTAATTCACACTTTTCATATGTGAGCAAACCTACAGTTTTATTCCAAATGTATATTTTGGTTTGTGCGACTGCTCATATTACTTTAGCCTCTTAAAGAAATTCAAAGCAATTCCTATCTTCCATCTGCATATTGTGTAAATGATTGCATATCCAAGAACTTGAGTTTTGTGGGATTAACATACATGCAGGAGTGGATAAAAATATATATATCATGAATAAAACATAGCAAATTATTAATTAAGCTCCCCCTCTGATATGATTCTCGCAGTGATTAGTGGAATTCATATTCACTTTTATGGTATTATACAGGGACCCTTTCATATTTGACAGGCCAATATGCTTCCGTTATCTTCAATCTTTGATTAAAGCAACACCATACAACATTTACCACATTCCACGAAGAATAAGAAGTATCAGGACGAGGATTTTAAAACTACAACTTTGGAAACAACCTTATATTGCTTTTCTAGGCAACTAGCGGTCTACTTCTTTAAATATTCTTTATGGTATATGATTGAAGGAAAAGGGCAGCGGTCACGTGTTGTGTAGGAGAAGCCTGCTGCATTATGAGGCAGCTTCGAGACCCATATCCCATAAATCATTGCAGGTGCAGGGAGCAGAGACCGTGCGCTAAGGTCACTCTCTCATGAATAGGCAACACTTTCGAATGCAGCTGCCAAATGGCCCTGTGTGAGGCACTGACAGTCCCCTTGTCCTTTAGTTAACACAAAAAGTGACATTGGCTCTCAAAAAAACAGGCATCATTCACTACATGAGAAAAACATTAGAGTAAAATTGTGGTTAAAGGTGTTTATTTGAAATACGCTGTTAAGTGCAATTTTATTTAACTAAAACTTTCTTGTTCATGGTCGTCACACATGAGAAAATATAGTGTCGGTAGAATAATGTCGACTTTTGCAATTAAAATTCCATCCGGTAAAACAATTCAAAATGTGTTCTCCCATCCCAGTATTAACCAGGCTTGGCTTGCTTAGCTTTAGAGGTCTAATCTGGCTTTCACATACAGGTGAGTGCCACAATATTTTCTCATAAGATAAAAATAGCAAGTTGAGATTTTATTTGTTTGCAAACTTTTACAAGGCTCTTGGGACAAACAGCTTTAAGGCAGCTGTGGGGGTCAACATGCCTAACTGGTCCTAGCTGTTGAAAGCATTCACATTTTGAAAAGTATTGAAACATAAAAAAAAAACAGATACACTTTTGCATTACTTCCCTGTATGATACCACGCTTAATCACGTAGCAGCTCCAGTTAATTTAGTTCAATCCTTGAAAATGAACGCCACGTCTGACTTCACATTGCTTTCTGGAATAGCCGTACGCATGACCAGCGGCAGTGTATCACCATTCAAAACTTTCTCTCAGTACACTCCGTCAGTCAATCATGTTTACGGCATGTGCCTGGGGATCGCTCTAGTTATTCTTCGCCACCTCCTGTCAGTTTGTGAGGCATTAAAGCAAACACAAAAGCAGTCATCCTGCAGTAGCTCCAAATTCAGCAGCACCACAAGGAGGAGGAGGAGAGATTGGCAGCTCGGCAGATTCCGAACGCTGTTTACCTGATACAAGATGGAGGATAAGACAATGCACACAAAGCCATAAAAAAAGAAATCACACGGATGCTGGAGATAGTACAGCGCTATCGGCAGGAGCTGAGAAAACAAAAGAATGATATGCCACCGTGACTGATAAACAAACACTGCCGCCAAGCTTAAGAACTTTTTATTTCCACCACCCAGCAAGTTTGGGGTGTTATTTGAAAATGAGTTTGGTAGTTTTTCTTTCTTGCACTGTTAAAGGGAGAGAGATTTTTCTAAACTTATGTCTGACTTTCTGTATACAAATGACATATTTTGGATGTATCGTTTAGAAATATATTGAAATAGAAATAAATAATAAGTAAGAATACTTTTAAATTGTTTCAATTCACAATGAAAGACACACAATGAACAATGTGTTGAAATGCAGACCATACACATTTAAAATTTTCTTTTCATTTTTCTCATTTTGGGGACAAAAAATACAATTGATAATCAAATTGTATTGTAATTTATGTTTCAGTCACAAAAATCGTTCATTAGATTTGATGTCATTGTTATTGAAATATGGTTCTCAAATGTCAGTCAAATTATACTTATTTTTTCTCCATGTTGTCAACAGCAGAAACATTTTAGTTTTTGTGTTGTTTACCACCGTTTGCTTTAAACACATTTATACAGCGTTGTTCTACCTTTTAAAGGACATCAACCCTCACTCATTCACACATACATTTGCGAGGTGGGTAAAGCGTTTTGCCCAAGAACGCAATGGCAGTATTCACCCATGGAATCAGACCGATCAACCGATGATGTTTAAGATTGGGATTCGAACTGCTAACCTCAGGGTATACACACTGACTGCCTTTCGCTCCATTCAGCTGCTCTTCGCCTCACTGCTCAGCGGAGGTTGACGTTCTTTGTGTATAATTTTTTTGAGAATGTTTGAGACGCAGAGGCCAGACGGATGAGTGATCAGCCGCTATATATTGTTTACATGCCTAATATTCATACCATTAAACACCAGTAAGTATCCATTTAGCAAAAAAACAAGAAACAGGATTGGTTGGGTTGTTTTTCTTTGTGGTTGTTCTGAAAGACGAGTTAGATGCATTACCGTGTTGACATGTTTCTGCAGTGTAGCGCCTTGACCAGATCATACTTCAGAAATTTTTAAATTTAGAAAGTTATATGGTCGAAACTGATGCTGAAGCCAAAAAATATACAAATCGATGGAAGATTCTGAAAAGATTATTTTGAAATGTTTCTATGTTTATTGTACGTAAATGAAGGTGTGTGGAAACCGCCTGGACTTGACCTGGTTAGGAATGCATTTATTTTACCATCAAAATCCTTTTACAGTTTGTGAAGTGCAGACAGTGTCCATCTTTATTTTATTTTTATTTTCATTTTATTTTTTCTTCAAATATATGTAATAATAATAATTAATAAGTCCTTGAACGGGACAATTAAAACAGACAAACCCTTTCACAAGACAGCTAGAATGAGTGAGTGAGTGAATGGGGGATGAGGGAGGGTGGGGCGGTACACTTGTTATGTAAGTGTATCTTGTATTTTTATGTTAAACTGATGATTTTCTGACAGTTGAAAATAAAGAATAAAAAATAAATATATATATTTTTTAAAAGATCTTACTTCCTAGCTGAGTAGTTTTT